GCAACTTCTTCCACAAGGTCTCCAGCCCGACTCAGGAGAAGCCCGAGAAGGAGACCACCGTCTCCAGCACTGCTCCCCAGCTGGACAACCCCGTCGAGGAATCTGCCTCCAAGCCCGCCGAGCCCGAGGGCGAGGCTGCCCGGCCGAAAATGCTGAGGCTCCCAAGGAGGAGAAGAAGGATGAGGCCCCTGTGGCTGAGTCCCCGAAGGACAAGAAGCGCACCTCCATCTTCGGTACTCTGAGCGTCAAGAAGAAGGCCGAGGGTGAGGAGGCCGGTGAGGGTAAGGCCAAGGCCAAGGGCAACAAGCTCGGTGGTCTTTTCCGCAAGCCCAGCAAGGCCGTGAAGAGTGAGGAGAAGAAGGACAAGGAGGCCGCCCCTGAGACTGAGGCCATCCCGGAAGGTGACAAGCCCGAGCCCATCAGCAAGGATGTCCCTGCTGAGGAGAAGCCTGCCGAGACGGCCGAGAAGACGGAGGGCGAGGCTGCTCCGGCTGAGAACGTGAACGTCGCCTCTTCCGCCGCCCCCGTCCAGGCTGCTGCGTGAAGGGTGAACGCCAGAACGAGCGTGGTGGAGTTTGAAAAATGGTGGGATGAAGCGTTCACGTCTCGTTCTGGCATATCCGCCGCCTGACGAGTTTGATGCGAAACCTGCCTGATGAGTTCCAACATCGCTGTTTTTTTTTTATAAATATAGGAGGAAAAAAAAACAGAAACGAAAAAAAAAAGACTTAATCGACAACGACAAGCTTCAAAAACTCATCTCTCCCGATCGCTCCTTTTGGTCTTTGCTCTTTCCGAACCTTTTGACGAGGAAGGTCGTGCGAGGTGGATAATGATACCCACTTTTTCTCTCATTTGCGCCGTTTTAATCAACCATCCCCTTCCCTCACCCGCAACGATACCCGAACTCGACTCGTCCCGTGTTGACGTTGTGTCGCTTTGATCTAGATTGATACCACTTTGTCGCGTTATGCTTATTTCCTTGCTGTTGGGCTATGCTTTGTTGTCGTGATACCCGTTGGGAGGGGCCCAAGTGAGTGATTTTCAATGTTGCTTTGGTGCGAGAAGCGTGTTTTCTCTCGTCATCCAACTGTTGAAGCACTCATTGGCATGTCTGCCGACTGTTTTGGCGTGAGTTGTGGTGGTCGAGAGACCAGCAAAGCATACCAATACGTAATACCTAATAGAACTAGTTGCTATTGTATTGCTGTGTAGTAGTTCATTTACAGTAATGGTATGTCGAGTAACAGTGTAAGTTGTAGGTTAGTTATTTAACAGCAAGTAGAGGGTATATCGCGGCTCCGAGGCTGTCCTGTTGCCAATAATTAATTTACAACCTTCAAGCTGTTTCTAGTACTTCTCCAGGAAAATTAGAAAATAATAATTATTAGAGATTCTCAGCGAAGCTCCAAGACAGAAGAATGCAAATCGAATCAAACCGATTTGGAATCCAACCCAGCAGTAGTAGCAACACAGTATGACGGAATCATAGCTTTCTTTTCCAAACAAGCTTCGATGCAATCAATGATGATCAATTTCGTAGGTGTAGATAAAAAAAACACGGCACGGGTGGATTGTAGAGTATCTACCTTACATAGAGAATTATGATGACTGAGAAAAGTCCGTTGATAGTTGATTACATAGGTAGGTAAGTAAGTAGGTAGCAGAATCAGATTGAGGGATGTGTTTCTTTTTTTTGTATTAGAAGAAGAATCTATCTATACACTGTACGATGAACGTCCGTGGACCGTCGCGCCACATTCTTGAGTATGTACTGCACCTATGTAGTTAACTATTATTGGTGGCTGGCTGGCGGGCTGGATGCTTTGTTTTGATATTATTCAGAATTCTCTCTTATATAAAATTTATAAGGTCCCGATTAATAGTTACTTCTAGGAACCTAGGAAGTTATTTAATCTAGCTAGGGAGGTAGTAGTTCATTATGACTCGACTTAACTCGACTCGAATATTATTTAATGGAGTGGACTTGCTTATCGGTTGATTGATTGATTGGTTGGTTGTTCTCTCATGACTATATAATATAGTCACGATCGTTGACTGACCATTGATTAATTGACTGACTGATAAATAACCTCGACAGAGTCTCGACGTTTATTTAGGGTTTCTGCAGAGTATGTATGTACTTAAATCCTGTTTCGTTTCTCTTTGTGTAGACTGTCTATTGTTGGTCTTTGGAAGTCAATAATCTGATCTCATTTAACTGGGTAGGTATTATAAAACCTCTACGATTCTGGGTTATACTTATATGCATACGCCAGTAATGTGAGCTGAGGGGTTGTTTGTTAGGCTCTTTTCATTCTCAGTCTTGGGGTTTTGTCCATGTGCATAGCTCACGGACTGAAGAAAAAATAAATCAAAAGTGACTATGTTTTTCCATTCTTTTAATATTTACAATTCAACACGACTACCTATTTTGACTTGACTGACTGAAACAATATAATAGCTCTTTATTGTATATGTAGAGAATTCATTATTAATAAAGATGGCTTTCCCAGATTTACCTGATTGAGTAAGTATACGTACAGTACGTAATTCAGAGGCCCCTTCCTCCCTCCCTCTATCTAGGGTTGGATATAAGATCAACGAGTATAATCCCAGGAAACAGGATTCCTTTTTTTTACGCTACTACTAAGAGAAGAACCTACAGAGCCTTGACATGCTTCGACACGTATCGTCCACTATCATGTCGTCCAACTCGGATGGGTGGCTTCCGGAGAGAGAGAGAGGGAGTATGCAAACCACTGGAATCTTATTATTGGGCAAAGAAAGGATCATCAGTCTCTAGATTAGGTACCTAACCTACTCGACTCATCCATCTATTTATGACTCACGGAGTAGGTAGTCAAGCTTT